GCTCCTGGATTGGAGCTGAAAGGCAAAAGGGATGCAGTATGCTCCCTCCACATGCTGGGGTAGACCAGGTGTCTCAATAGAAAAACACTTAAGCTCTCCACTGGCTCAAGCTGATGAAGGGAGGAGAACTTGTGGCTCAGAGGTTAATACAACTACCTAACATGCAGGCAGCCCAAGTTTGAATCCAAGTAAGGGTATGGCTAGCTGATGAGAGCTAAATAGCTTGAAATAGATCTATACTAGTCTCCCTTTATTTCTTTATCAGCGAAATATATATATATATAGAATAGTTTGCAAAAGGATTTCCAAAAGGATATATATATATCCTTTTGGAACTTCACTGCTTTTTCCATCGTCTGATGGAAGTTAACAACTAGGGCTCCTCTGCCTCTTCTGAATCCAGCCTGCACATCTGGCAATTCTTGCACTGTGCATTGCTGAAGTCTGACTTACAAAATCTCGAGTATTATTTTACTAACATATGGGGTACGTGCAAGTGTTTGATAGTTGAATAGGGTGCCATAAGCAAACTGAAAACATGCCAGGGAAACACTCTGTGGTTTGTTCTCTCCAGAAGAGGCTGATGTATGAGGTTTGCACAGTATGACCTATTAGTACTGTGGAGAGGGGGCTGAAAAAAATCCCGTTTTTTTTTTATTCTGCAATTTCTCACTCAATTTGTTGAAAGAGAATTTGCCTTCAATATTTCCTTTAAAGGAAGAGAGAGCTACTGAGAAATTCCCACGGGACTAGTGTGGTAATCCTATGCTTACTGAATTTAAAAATGATCACGAGCTTTCTTTCTCTCTGTATGCGTGTGTATGCAGGCACATGAGTTTGCGTATATGAACAGACTGGCTTCCACTGTGAAATCATTTCTCGCTTTGGAAGCCTTCCTGCCATCAAATCTTTTTTGTTTCTTTTTTTTTTTCAGACTGGACAATGGGAGGGACTGAGTGATGTGCAGGATGAAACAGGACTCTATTCTCTGCTACTTCCAACAATGTCAGCTTAAAAAAAAATCACGAAGATAAATTTTAAAAGACAAATCTCTCTCCCTCCTTCTCTCTCTCTCTCTTTCTCTTCCCCTACATATCTCCCTTTCTGTCTCTCTCTCTCCCTATCTCATGGGTCTGCAACCTTAAACACTCAAAGAGCCATTTGGACCCGTTTCCCACAGAAAAGAAAACACCGGGAGCCACAAAACCTTGACTGTTTCTTGAGCGATCACAAAACTAGCATATGTAGTTGAATTAAACATTCTGTTTTCTTCTGAAACTTTTCTTTTCTTGGATTTATCCATGGTTGGCCTACCAGGGGTTGAAAAGCTCAATAAATCGCGTGCCGGCGGGTGTCGCACATTGGCGGTTGTGATGCATATTTTGAGTGACAGGGAGCTGCAGCAGAAGGGTGAAAAAGCCACATGTGGCTCCAGAGCCGCAGATTGCTGATCCCTGACCTATCTCAAGCTTCCTGAGAATGTTAGAAAAATGGAATCCTGTTTCACAGATAAACATGTTTGAGAAATTGCTAGGCAAATGTTGATATGTCCTTAACAATGTTTCCAAGTCATGTATCAAGATAGTTGCAGAAACTGGTCAATGTAGACATATCTGCTGTTGAGGAAAGACGTGGTGCACCCTAAATAACCTGATCTAAAGTGCTGACACAGCTTTATAGTTCCAAATGAATCATTCCTAGGCAGGAAATGCCTAGGAATGCTAGAAGTTAATTTCAGTAACACTTAAGAGAGGCAAAGGTTCAATCTGGGACCTTCTACACTGAAGATGCTCTGCTCCTGAGTTACGGTTCACGTAGAGATGGACTGCAAAAGAAGAAAAGGTTTGTAAAAAGCCACTGATTGCTGTTCTCTGATCTGGCACGCTTGTCTCATCTTGGCTGGCTCTGCGTTCAGTAGATAGAAAGCTGAGATACTCCTGCTTGGTTCTCAGATGTTGCATCCATTCAAAAGGAGGCAATTTAGCAATTATCTGCCACTCTTCTCAGTGCATTCGAGTGCTGCTGAGACACACAGCAGCCAAGAAAGTTTCATGGGTAGACTCCATCATCTGTAACACATCTGCCAATCTGGCATACAATGTGATTCCTCTCCCATAATTTTCCTTCTTTGTATTTTTTTTCTTTTTTTAAAAAAAAACACCCATGTGGTTTTCATTTTGCCTATTAAAAGAACCTGTCTTGATGGGTGGGGGCTGACAGAATTTATTTAAGCTGAATTCCAGGCAGCCAAAGGAATTCTGCTCACATAAAAATTTAATTCAATTCTACCTGTAGTACAATCCGCTGACAGATGCATACAACTATTTGGGATCTGTGTATATAAACTGCCTATCAACCAGTTATCTCGAAGATGGCGAGTAAGACATACCAAAATAATTACATGCCTGATAAAACTTTCCAAATTAAGCACTGTAGGCATACTGATGATCAGCAAAAAGGAATAATAACGTGGAAGGGAAACTAACTAAAATAATATAATAGAATTCAGAAGAATTCTACCTTTGTTTTGCAAATCAAAAGTAGTAAGGAAGAAGCAAGACAAACTCTTTTGGAGAGGAATTCCAAGGAGTAGATGCTTCCACACGGAAGTTCCTGTCCAGAAATGGGATTCACATAATTTACCTACCAGTTCGCCCAGCACCGAAAATGTGAGCGTACGTGCCTTCCGTGCATGTTCTCGGATTCAAAAACGTGCTTAAATAGGACAGCATAGACCCGGGGCGGGTGCACCTACAATTTCTGCTACCAGTTCGGGCAAACCGGTCTAAACCGGCTGAATACCACCTCTTGTCTTGTTAAACTTCGAACCAGATCAACAGACCTCAACAGACAGAACTGATAACAAATCCAGAAGATCCTGAGAGACTCTTCAGTTTTCCCAACTGGTTATCTTCTAACAATTTTGGAACTACAACTCCCTGAATTTCCAGCCAGCGTGAAATTCTTGTGGTTGCAGTTCCAATGCTTTTGGAGTAAGGCCAAGTTTGGAGCTTTAAAAGTCAAAGCCAGCAATGGGAACCAAGTTGCATCAGAGCTGTGATGTAATCCTCCAGGCCTGGATTACGTAACATTCAAATTCAGTGTTTTTCAATCTTGAGAACTTTTAAGATGTGTGGACTTCAACTCCCAGAATTCCAATGGCTGGCTGTAGAATTCTGGGAATCGACACACCTTAAAGTTGTCGTGATTGAGAAACTGTTCTAATTGGTCCACCTTCAATCATATGCCATTTCTGAACACACTGCAAAGACTAACACTAAATTGGTTCCAAATTGGTAGTTTCTGGACATTCGGCAATGTTATTCCAAATCACCTGAAAGCTAATTTGGAGGACAAAACACTGATGATCACAAAGGGAGATTGAAATTAGGCCCAAGGACAGGTAGTCCATGACTTACAACAGTTCCTTTAGTGACCGTTCGAAGTCACAATGGTACCGAAAACAGGGACTTACCACCAGTTTTCACACGACTGTTCCAGCCTCCCACATAAATACATAAGACACTTGGCAACTGACTCATACTTAGGATGGCTGCAGTGTCATGTCATCACCTTCTGCAACCTTCTCACAAGTCAATGAAGGAAGCCAGATTCACTTAACAACTGTGTTACTAACTTTATATTACATTATAAACTGGTATTAACCTTTCCTGTGATCTTGATTCTACCCCTCTGTTAATGCAGCCCAGAACTGTGTTGGCTTTTTTTTGGCAGCTGCAGGACACTGCTGGCTCCTGTTTAAGTGATTGTCCACTAGGACTCCAAGATCCCTCTCACAGTTATTACTACTGAGTGAGGTACTACCTATACCAGTGATGGCGAACCTTTTTGGCACGGAGTGCCCAAAACCGGAATGTGTGTGCGTGCCTGAAACCCAACGACCAGCTGGCCGGTGTGCATGTGCACGCTAGAAACCAGCTGGCGACGGCAAGCATGCCCACAGAGAGGGCTCTGCGTGCCACCTCTGGCATGCGTGCCATAGGTTCGCCATCTGGGACCTATACTGTACGTTGCTTGGTTTTTCTTGCCTAATGGGCAAGAAAGGTGCTGGTTATCACCTATAAAGCCCTTCATGGCTTAGGTCCGGGATATTTGTTGGACCCCCTGCAGCCAGCAACAATCTCCAATCGCCCGGTGCGTTCCCACAGACAGGGCCTCCTCAGGGTGCCGTCGGCCAGACAATGTCAGCTGGCGACCCCTAGGGGGAAAGCTTTCTCTGTGGGCGCACCTATCCTTTGGAACCAACTTCCTTTGGAGCTCCGGATGGCCCCTGACCTTCGCTCGTTTCGCCGTGATTTGAAGACCTGGTTATTTCGTAGCCTGGACTGATGAGGGGGGGGGGGAGTGGTTCTTAATAGTTTTTAAACTGATTTTAAACTTTTTTTTTATTTTTTATTTTTATATGCCGCCCTTCTCCGGAAACTCAGGGTGGCTTACAATGCGTTAAGCAATAGCCTTCATTCTTTTGTATATTTTATACAAAGTCAGCTTATTGCCCCCACAAACTGGGTCCTCATTTTACCCACCTTAGAAAGGATGGAAGGCTGAGTCGACCTTGAGCCTGGTGAGAATTGAACTCGCAGTAATTGCAGGCAGCTGGATGTTAAATGCTGCCTTAGTAGGAGGCATTAGCCTCCTACGCCACTCAGGATCCTTTAAAACTGTTTAAATTCGGACTTTTAATTTTATATTGCATTAATGTCATTGTGTATTTTACTGTTGTGAGCCGCCCTGAGTCCATTGGAGATAGGGCGGCATATAAATCACATTAAACTTAAAATGTAGAACCTTACTTTTCCCACCATTGAATTTCATTTCGTTAGATAGCGCCCAATGTTCCACATCTGTCAAGATACTTTCCTATATCTTAAGCCTATCTTCTGGAGTGTGAATCTCTCTCTCTTTTTTTAAGATATTAAAAAGATCACCGAGAAAGGCAGTTGATAAAACTGTAGCAAATGTATTTCCACTGAAGGTACCTTCTGTTGAGCAGTTCTGCCCACAAGCTGTCTGTAGGATATAGAACATCTCCCGGGCATGCTTGCCACCTTGAAGCAGAGCAGTCGGAAGCAGAAAAATAAAACAAACAAACAACAAAAAAAAACAACCAAGGTAACAGAATGCAAAAGGAAATAAAAAGCACCGGGAGAAAAGAGAAAAAGAGAGAGAAAGAGAGAGAAATGAAGGACAGCTGATTAAAGTCGCCATCGAAATACATTTAGAAATGAGATTAGCAAATTACGGCCAGAGAATTTAAACGACAGACAACATTAGGATCGCAAGTCAGTCACATATTATGGAAGAGGAGAGGGAAAAAAAGAAAACAGAAACAATCCAGCCATATAGCTTAGCTAAGGCATCAAAAACCAAAGCGTGAAAAAAGGTAGTTATATTAAATTAGCCACGATTCAATACAGCACTGTTACAGCAGTTTCAATGCCAGACAGTCAAGTCAATCAATCAATCCCTTGTTAGTTTTCTCTAGTTTTCTCTAACCCAAATCTATGCAGTTTTCATCAACTTTCCATTCTGGGCAAGAGATTGCATACGGGGTTCAACGTACCCACAATGTCAAACCACAAGGGGATGTTAGCAGGTTGCACGGAGACCACGCCGACAATTTCTGTCACTCGGTCACTTTCCATGATGGTGAAGTTATAGAAGGGCTCATCGAAAGTCAGAGGAACGAGGGATGGAGGTGGCTTCTTAATCCATTCGATGTGGAGGCGTGCTGTAGAAGACTTCTGGGGCCGGCCGTTGTCAACTGCTTTGATCTGTTAGAGATGGGAGACAGAGGACGCTTTAACACACTTTTCTGGGCAAAGATTTCACCCCTGTTTTGCTTTCAAAAGGGTCCCCGAATTCCCACAATCATGAGATGAACTGGGTTTTTCTGCACGACACTGCAAGCAAGGATAGGGGTCAGACATATTTAATTTTACATATACTGACAGCGGCAAGGATCATATTTGCTAAATATCGGAAAAAATGAAAACACTCCGTCAGATGGAGAAGTGATTCGGAAAATTTTAGAATGTGCTGAAATGGATAGGTTAACTTCTAACATTAAAGATAAAAAAGACTCAGAATACTATCAGATATAACAGTTTTTATGAATGGCTAGAGAAAATGGGTAGGAATTAGAGGAAAAAAGACTATGAATGTCTGTATTAAAATAGAGAAGGTTATTCAACTATAAATATGATAATCTATAAAATGTAAAGAGGCCAAGATAGAAAACCCAATTTAAATTATTTGGTTATAGTATTACAATTATATCTAAAACAAGTGTTATCATATTATAGTTACTGTTACTAGTTACTGTTAATGAATTCATGTGTTAATATCTTTTTTTATTCTGGTCTTTGTTTGTGTAACTGACATATCCTGTATTCATACCCTGTATTCAAAAATGCTTATAAATTATATACCGTATTTTTCAGAGTATAAGACGCACCTTTTTCACCCTAAAAGGGGGTGAAAATTTGGGTGCGTCTTATATACCGAATGTATAATGAAAATTTGGGTGCGTCTTATATACCGAATGCCCACCCACTGGCTCCTGCCTCCCAGAAATTTACCTCCTTGCAGCAAGCAGCAAGAAGAAACAGCCCATTTCAGCTTCAGCACAGCCTAATTAGCACAAGTTGATTGTCCTTGGATTGGCCTCCCGACTCTCAGCTGTTTCAGGCTGCAGGGATTGCCATTGCCTATTGCTGCGCAGGCCTCTGCTGCTTGCTGCAAGGAGGTAAATTGCTGGGAGCAGATTTTTTTTTTTCTTGTGCTAATCAAGTTATGCTGAAAACGAAAATGAAAGTAAAGCAGGCTGTTGTGTTTGCTGCAATGAGGTACTGTATGTGTATATATTTAAGCAGAAACGTCCTAACCATGAGAACAATCAATTGATGGAACGACTTGCCTCCAAAAATTGTGAATGCTCCAACACTGGAGGCTTTTAAAGAAGAGACTGGAACCATTTGTCTGAAATGGTATAAGGTTTTCTGCCTGAGCAGTGGTTGGACTAGTAGACCTCTAAGGTCCCTTCCAACCAGAGGTCGTATTCAGCCGGTTTGGACTGGTTCGCCCAAACTGGTAGCGGAAATCACTGGCCAACCTGGCTCTCTGCCATCCTATTTAGGCACGTTTTTGAGGCGCAGGTGCATGCGTGGAAGGCACACCTGCCAGCAAAGTGCGTGCACGGAAGGCCGGGCGCATGCGTGGGACGCGCTCACATTTGCGAACCGGTAGGGAAAGTAAGTGAATACCCCCCGCTTCCAACTCTATTATTCTGTCATGACATTTTGTACTTTTGGTGAAAACATTTAAGGCAACAGGGTGGGTGACCAGTGGGTAGTGAAAAGGAGGCGGGAGGGGAGAATATGGAATTTCTTCTTAAAATGTTTTTGGAAGAAACAAGGACCAGAGTGAAGTAACTGATCTGTCCCCGTCTACACACACACACAAACACAGCCAGCCGAGGGTTAAGAAAGTACTTGGCACACACACAGGTCGTTATCTCAAACTTGGCAACAATATAAGCACCGTCTGCCAAGAGCTTTACTGCAACAGATAACATAAAATTACATACGCATTGCAAATAGTCCAGCAAAACAATATCCCTTCGGCAGCTTCAGACGTTGTTCAAGTGACTAGCCAAAGTTAGTTTTTGTTCGTCACAGAGTTATACCAGCCACCACCCTCTCTTATATAGTCTCTGGGGTGTGGTCCAGTGACTCAGTTCTAATCCCTAGCACGCCTCCTTAACTGCTGCAACCGTTTATCACGCCTTTGTTGGCGTGCATCCAGGAACGACGGCTCTTCTTCCTCGCTCTCATCCGAGACACCTGGCTCCTGGCTAATCTCCTCTCCCTCGGCCGGCACCTGAGACAGTGCCAGAGGGGAGGGGCCTGGAGAGGGAGGCCTGGCTGACTCCTCTCCCTCATGTTCGGAGCCTTCTTCCTCCGATGAGATAGGCTCAGAGGGCGGGGCCACAACAGTAACAAATGTTGACAAGGTCCCAAGGTTTGTAGAAACAGGACTTTCAGGGCAAGTAATTTTCATGGATGCGCTTGGTATTTAAATCTAATCAAAGGCCACTAGTCTAGTGTTATTTTCCTGTTTTTTTTGGGGGGGGGGGAGGAGGATATTTTGTCTGCAAAAGACTTCTGAACAACATGTTGTTGTTCTTCCAATCAATTCGTCTTATTTACCTTTTTAAACTTGAGACTGAGCCCAACCAAAGTTAAAGAATTTAAACTTTGGTTAAACTTTGCTTTCCTCTCTTTGTTGGTAATCAAGTCATCAACTTACAATCATTGGTTTAATGACCATTTGAAGTTATGACAGCACTGAAAAAAGTGACTTTGGTCCTTACACTTGATTGTTGTAGTGTTCCCTGCAGCAACAGGATCAAAATTCAAGTGCTTGGGAGTCAGTATTGCAGACTAACTCTGCTCACAGCCAGGAGTTCGATCCTGACCGGCTCAAGATTGATTCAGCCTTCCATCCTTCCGAGGTCGGTAAAACGAGGACCCAGATTGTTGGAAGCAATATGCTGAATCTGTAAACTGCCCAGAGAGTGCTGTAAAGCACTGTGAAGTGGTATATTTATTAATTTATTAAGCCCTCTTTTTGACTCGTGTAGTATACAGGTCCTCAATGGATGGCAGGTTGGTAGCAATTGTTTTTTTGATTGCTTATTAGTAACCTATGACTATCACTAAGTGTTGTGTCTTATGATTCTTGATGAATGTATTTTTTTCCCTTTTATGTACACTGAGAGCATATGCACCAAAGACAAATTCCTTGTGTGCCAATAAAGAATTCTCTTCTCTTCTGAGAGCAGTCGTAAGATGAGGATTACCTCTTCGTACAATTTACTAATTTAGAACCCCCCCCCACAAACTCTAATCAAGATCAACACTAGCCACACTTCACATCTTGTGTGAAGCAGCAACTAAATATTCATCAGACCTGATTAAACACTTTGAGCAAACAGCCTTGCTTGCCATTGAACTAGTTCCCAAGAAGCAAAGTTCATTTGTTACACAGAGTGAGTTGTGAAAAGCCACCTGCCTAGACTGTAATTTGCTGCCACCATGCATCCACTGTTATGGCTTTTAAATCAGATGCACCGAGAAGGCCTGCTGTCGACCTGCGTGACACACCAGCAGACACCTGTGCCCACTTAACTCTCCACCACTTGCCATCCAATTAAGTTCCTGTGAATTCCTTCCAATAATGAAGAAGGTGGATTCCAATTAATCTCTCACATATAGGCCATCCTGCCAACTATTTTTCATATTCAGTAGGTAAAAGGTAAAGGTACCCCTTGCACATATATGCTAGTCATTCCTGACTCTAGGGGGCAGTTCTCATCTCCATTTCAAAGCCGAAGAGCCAGCGCTGTCCGAATACGTCTCCGTGGTCATGTGGCCGGCATGACTAAACATCGAAGGTGCACGGAACGCTGTTACCTTCCCACCAAAGGTGGTCCCTATTTTTCTACTTGCGTTTTTTACATGCTTTCGAACTGCTAGGTTGGCAGAAGCTGGGACAAGTAACGGGTGCTCACCCCATTACGCGGCACTAGGGATTTGAACCGCTGGAGTCTTAGCCACTGAGTCACCGAGTCCCATATTCATATTCAGTAAGAGTGAGACAATACTGAGTCTTAAAGTACATTTGGTTTGAATGGAGATACCTGAATTCAACTTACTTGCAAGTCCAGGTCAAAAATTGAAAATCCATCAGGGGTGCGATGGATCAGTGATTAAAGATACTGAGTTTATTAGACAGAAAGCTGATAGCCCAGGTTTGAGACCCGAGTGTGGCATGATGGAGTGAGCTCCCGTTCCTTGCTCTAGCTCCTGCCCACCTAGCAGTTCGAAAGCATGCAAATGCGAGTAGATAAACAGGTATCTCACTAAGGTGGGAAGGTAACAGTGTTCTGTGCACCTCAGCACATAGTCATGCTGGCCACATGACCACAGAAATGTCTTCAGATAATGCTGGCTCCCTCGGCTAAGAAATGGAGATGAGCACCAAACCCTAGAGTCAGACACTAGAGTTATAGGCCCATCATTTTAGTTGTTGATTAAGTGACCTGCCGTATGTTGGGGACTGTGTGTGTGTGTGTGTGTAATATATATGTGGTGTGCTTGTGTGTGTGAAGCATGACATGTTAAGATGGTTAGAAGTGTTTTATTTGTTTTAGGCCCATCATAACTTCATGTTAAGTGACCAAGTTGTAAGTCAAGGATTATATATAAATCTCTGTGTTTGTATAATATATATGTGGTGTGCATGTGTGTATGTGTGAGGCATATTTTAAGATGATGGCTAGAAGTGCTTTATGGGCTGTAAAACGTTCGTTCTAGGCCCATCGTAATTTGTTGTTGTTAAGTGGCTAGTTGTAACTCAAGGACTTCCCGCAAAATACTTAAAAACAGTAAAACCTGCTCTTAAAGCTTATTCCAGTACTGAAGTCTTACAGTTAAGATATCATAGCTCCCTGCAGTGAACTGCTTTCGCGAAGAAACCATTCCAGTCTTGGGGTCAATGAAGAACTTGGCGTCTTCGTTTCCATCCACAATGCTGTAGGAAATCTCGGCGTTGGGGCCTTCGTCCTTGTCGAAGGCAAAGGCTCGGTATATGGGCTCCCCTCTCTTCTTTCGGTCCCTTTCGGGCAACTTGACCTGATAGACTTTCTCTGGGAACTGAGGCTTGTTATCGTTTTCATCCAGAACCTGGACTACCAGCCATACCGTCGACTGCTTGGGAGAGACCCCTCCATCAGTTACTGTCACCTGAAGTGGAAAGAGTAACAATAGCAACAACAAAACAATGTTAGAAGTGCACAAAGCTAGTAAAAAGTTGAAACGGAATATAAATAAACATGAGCAAAACAGTCATTATCTTCTTTTAATGACCTTGTAATCCCTTGTGGGGTGGAGTCTGAGGCAACTGAATGGAGCTGAGTGTTCACTGGCCGGATGCCCTTCCTGTCACCAATGCAGAGTTTTTCCCCCGGCAGATATACTCTCACTATGCCCAGAGAGAGAAATATCTGCCTCTTCCTAGCATCGAACTCACAGCCTCCTGATTGAGAGGCGAGAGCTCTACCTCTAGGCCACTGCACCACTCAAATACGAACAAAACAGTGAACTATCTCAAATGTCCTGTTTGGAAGTTGAGATGAAAGCTTTGAGCCCCAAAGTGGGGAGATCTGAACTCAAAGCAGAATGCTTCCAATCTGAGAATGTTGTTAAGTGAGTTTTGTCTCATTTTACGACCTTCCTTGCCACGGTTGTTAAGTGGATTGCTGCAGTTAAATTAGTAACACGGTTGTTAAGTGAATCTGGCTTCCCTGTTTGCTTTGCTTGTCAGAAGGTCACAAAAGTGGATCACATGACCCTGGGATGCTGCAACTGTCATAAATAAAGCCCATTAAATGGCTTGTGTGATCTGCTGTCACCGGGGCGGGAGGTGGGAGGTAGGGGTGATTTTGCTATATTGTACTGTATTTGATTCTTTTTGTTGGTTTTTATTGTTTTAAATGTGGTCTTTTATTCTGTAAAATAAAATTCGCCATGGGCGAATAGGCGGCAATATTAAATACATACATACATACATACATACATAATACCAGTGGTGAAATCTAAAATTTGTTACTACCGGTTCTGTGGGCATGGCTTGGTGGGAGGGGGTAATGTGACTGGGTGGGCGTGACCAATTTTTTTTTAAAAAAAACTTTTAAAACCATTTTTTCTACAACCTCTTCGGGGAAGAGGTTGTAAAAAAAATGCTTTCAAAAGGCCCTGACAATCCCAGCTGAGTTGCGATCATCAGAGGCTTTTTTTCTTTTAAATGCCTCTGATGATCAGGCAACTCATCTTGGATCGTCAGAGGCATTTAAAAGAAAAAAAGCCTCTGATGATCGCGTGGCTCAGCTGGGCGGGGGGGGGCAGGGATTTTTGCTACCGGTTCTCCGAACCACCTGCCTCCATCGCTACCGGATCAGGCGATCTGGCCCAAACCGGGAACATTTCACTCCTGATACATACATACATACATACATACATACATACATACATACCAGGGATGAAATTCAACTGGATTGGACCGGCTCGGGTGAACCGGTAGGGACGATTTGAATCAGTTCACGGAACGGTAAAAATCACCTCCACGCCTGCCTGCTCGCCGCTCACATCTTCTGACCGCTGTAGCCTGTCCCTTTAAGGTAGTCCCCGGGAGGGAGGGGGCCGGTTGGGACCATAAAGGGAGCAGCAGCTCCGCTGTGAATGGAGGGGGAAAAGTTCGGCTTCTCTCTGCCACAGTATTCACTATGAGCCCTTCTCATGCTCATAAACACATTTTTTTCCTACCGGGTTCTGTGGGTGTGGCTTGGTGGGGGGCGGTGTCATGTGACTGAGTGGCCATGGCCGTGAGTGACATTGAGTTGGCCACACCCACTCAGTCACAGGAGCCACCACCAAGCCACGCCCACAGAACCGGTAGGGAAAAAATTTGAATGTCACCACTGATACATACATACCAGTGGTGGGTTGCCCCCGGTTCGGTCTGGTTCTATAGAACCGGTAGTAAAACCAGCGGGAGGCTCTGCCCACCTGCCACGACGTCATCATGGGTGATCTGCGCATGCGCAGAAGTGTGCACACTCCCGTTGTGAAAGTAAAGGTAAGTAGAACCCATACATGCCTGTTGATAAGAGTCTGAATTCTGATCACGTTACCATGGGGATGCTGCAACAGTCGTAAGTGTGAGGAATGGTCATAAGTCACTTTTCTGTGTCGCAATTTTGAATAGTCACTAAACTAATGGTTGTAAATTGAGGATTACTTGTACCATGTATTAGGCTGCAAGGGATGAATCAAATGGTTGCTGTCCCAATGAAGATCAATGCTTTCTTAAGATAGCTGCAGTCTTTCCTATCCTTATTCCTTGCTCTAGAATTCACTCCCCGATTGATATTGGCCCCCTTACTAGCATTCAAAAAGGTTTTAAAGACACCTTTTTCCCCAAAACAGCTTTTAAGGTTGACTTAAAACTTAATTTTCAACAGTTATTTTAAAACGCTTTATTAATTTTGGTGGTAGGTTATTACAGCAAACCGCTCCGGGACTACAATAAGCTGTGAAATAACATTTTAATTATTATTCTTTAAGGGAATGTAGGCTTTGCTTTGTAGATTTCCCTGAATGGAAATAATATCCCAGTAAAAAAAAAAAGTATCCACCTAGGAGGTTTAATCTGTTTTACTTTGTGGAAAAGCAAGAAGGGAATAAATTAGTGGAGACGTGAAGTGGGAGGGCAGTGAGTTTACAGTTGTCAATGTCCCCCTTTGGAAAAACCAAAGTAAAACAATAACATCACACTTTGGCTTAAGTCTTTCTAGAACTTGCACAAGGAAAGAACAGTTAACTATATAGTTTCCAAGATCGAATCTGGGTCGGTCAGCGGAACCAGAGATTTACTCTTCCGAGCATTTGGACTCATGCTGGAGCCCATCTTCAGGGAATTTCTCTCTACTGGAATACATGCTTTGGGCTGTTCTGTGAGTCGTGTTTATGTGGTGTCTTCCTATTGGCTGATTGGTGTGTTGAAGGCTGGCGATTGGCTGCTGTTTCCTTGTGCTGCCAAGCCTTCGGCTCCTAAGTATTTGATAAGCTGGTGGTAATTCAGCACTCCTGTTGACTGACGAGGGGCCCGTTTCCCAGGCTTCAAACATTTCCCTGGCTATTTTTGTACCTGCTCGGCCGACAATCTTAGTAGCTGCGAAACTGAATGTAAATTTCTGTATTCCAAATAATTGTATCTCCTTTTGACAAGAGTTGGTAAATATATAAATCTCTCTTCTCTTTTCTTTTTCCCCACTTTGATTCTTAACTAAAGGTATTAATCGAAGTTTTGGACAACAATGATAACGGTCCAGAATTTTCCCACCCAAGCTACGATGTGATAATTTCTGAGGACATCATGCCCGACACTGAGATCCTTCAAGTAGAAGCCATGGGCAGAGAAGGGAAGCACAAGCTCAGCTACATCTTTCACAGCATGATTCACAGATTCTATCAGCATGAGAAAATTCAGGATGGATCCCTCGGCAAGAGTCGAGGTGACACAGTGGTTAAGAGTGCAGTTCTGCAGGCTACTTCAGCTAACTGCTAGCTGCAGTTCAGCAGTTCAAATCTCACCGGCTCAAGGTTGACTCAACCTTCCATCCTTCTGAGGTGGGTAAAAGGAGGACCCAGATTGTTGGGGGCAATAGGATGATTCTGTAAACTGCTTAGAGAGGGCTGTAAAAGCACTATGAAGCGGTATATAAGTCTAAGTGCTATTGCTAGTGCTATTGCTATTGCTAACACAGGGGTGCTCTATAGTTTGCATTACACAGTTGACAGTGGGAAGGGGTGAATTAGGTTAGCCCCAAACTAACTCTTTGGGGTTAAAATTAACCATCTCTAAATTAATAGTGGGGGAGAGGGTATACAGTGATTGGGTTGGGGGTTTCACATATACTGTTCTGCCCCAGCAATGGACCCCAAAGAACGCAGCACACACAAAGTCCATTCAAACCTTAGTTTATTAAATAAACCAGTCTTTTTCAACAATGGCTGTTAATTAATTACATTAACAGCTGCCAAGAATTCAAAGAATAATAACTGAAAGCTTACTATGGTTGGCAGAATGCCCAGAAACAATTTGCAGGAAGCTGATAAGATAAGCAAGTCAAGACACGAAGGTATGTGAACTAAGTTGTTCCCTGCAAATTGCTTCAGTCACTGTTCCTCCTTAAATAGGTTAAGGGAGTGGCCAGTTAGCCCCAAGCCTTACTCTCGAGGAGACCTCCTCCTGAAAAGCCACTCCTGCCTTTTGGCAGCTCTAGCGCCCGTGCATCGAGAAGAGGCTCCTTCTCTTCATCCTCTTCACTTAAGGGAGCTTCTGGAGGTTCTGAAGGCCCTGGCTGAATCCCCGCCTCTGGCACCACATCTTCTCCAGCCTCCTCATTGTCTGACTCGAGTGCCAGCTGCACAGGCTGCTGGCGCAGCACCACACCAGCCTCCTTGCTGTCTGAATCAGCTACTAGCTGCACAGGCTGCTGACGGCCCACAACATATCCCAAATCAGATATGTGAGCCTTGCCAACGAGGTCATTGTTTTGTGATTTTATTGGTTTATATGTATAGTCATGGACCAAAAACAGAATTAAAATAGATGTTAAGGCATGCTGGCTGGGAAATTCTGGAAGTTGAAGTCAACATATCTTACAACAGGGGTGTCAGACTCAAGGCCCGGGAGCCGGATCTGGCCCATGAGGTACTTAGATCTGGCCCATGGGACCACCCTAGAAACAGCAAAGGACCGGCCTGTGGTGCTTCTGCTAGCAAAAACGGAGCATGTGGCCCTCCCGAGCTCTGTTTTTGCTGGCAGAGGATTGGAGGAGGCTGTGGCAGCCGAAAACAGAGCTTGGCAGAGCGCTCGGGCCACCACAGGCACCCCTGACATGAGTGATGTCAAGCTGGCCACGCCCCCCACCCCACCCCCGGGGTCTCTGCAGGCCTCTGATGCGGCCTTCAATGAAATCGAGTTTGACATTCCTGTCAAACTCGATTTCCTGTCAAATTCACCAAGGTTAATATAGTCACTCAAAAAAAAAGAAGAAGACTTTATTAATTACATTTATATCCTGCTGCAATCGTGGAAGATTCTCAGTGACTCACAATAAATCAACAAAGCATGATAATAGTAGAGTAACAAAAAAAAAAAAATCTTAGAAAGACATTAA